ATTTTCAAAATGCCGGCCGTGACATGTGCCGCGGTGGCGGCGGTGGCGTGCACAGGGGGGTGTCATGCGCTGCGGTGGAGGGTGCGCATGCGCGCGTGAGCAAGCATGCCGCCATTTCCCCCCCTCGGCCCAGCGGAGACCTGGGCTTCGGGGGACCGGCCCAGGTCGCAAAAAAGTTGCCTACCCCTGGGCTAAACTATACAATGAAGCTTGAGGTTTTACTCAATGCAGGCACTGTCTTTGACATGTTGAGCAACTTCCATTCATTCACCCTCACAGGACTCTTCCAAACTGGTCTAAAAAGGTATGAGTTCTTGTGAAATAGCTCCTTGGGTTTTGCCAGGGTTTACCTCTGTGTCCGATCATTCTATTTGGGAGAGGGATTAAGATTGCGGTGTGATAATATTCCAGTATGTCTCAGAACTAAAAAGAAATCCACACAAAGATGGAAATTGAACATTGTAACTGGTGCTAGGAATTGCAAAAAAGTAGTCTGGGACAAAATAAGCACTGTTTGGAAAGTATTATCCCCCCCCCCCATTTTTCTCCTATTGTTCTAAGGTTATAGTGTGTCCAATATCCTGGGCCCATCTTATCATTTGGGGCTTTATCTCCTCATCTTCAATTTCAAATGACAATAATAGTTTATAAAATTTCCTGAGCCTATGATTTTCTTCTGATTTAACTGTCTTTTCCAATCTCAAGTATGCTTACTGAATCCTACTGAACTTTTTATCTAAGCCAAATTTTTCTTTTATTTGAAAGTATGTGAACCACATGCAATTTAGTCCTTCATTTCCATTTTCTTTCCTTGTAGTAGATCCTCGTATGTTACCCATTTCGAGTCATTTAGTTTTGTTCTATTTAGAAATGCTTCATTTATCGGGGCCTACTTAGGTACTCCTTTACATAATCTCAGTTTAAATTTTGACCAAAGGTGCTATAGGGATTTTCTAATATAATGATTGTTAAAGCCCTTATCCACTGTTAGTTTTTCATAAAACAAATATCCATGCCAGCCAAATCTGATACCACTGCCTTCCAATTGTAGTAGTCTTTCATTTTATAATTTCAACTAATCTATAATCCAATTCATCAAACAGGCATCATAATAAATTTTTTAATTTGGTAGTGCTAGTACTAAGTATTATTTTTTTAACCAAGCATTACTGCAACAAATATTAGAACCTCCTGATACATTTCTCCTATCTGAAGGAGCACACAACCTGTGATAAGAGGCAGTTCTGCATGCATACTCCTCCTAATGTATATATTACTACATCCATGCCCTGTACCATTCTAAAACAATTTTTTTCATTTACTATAATTTTTTAACTGACATTATGAAAAGACCTGATTCAGAAAAGTAGAAAATTATCAAACTTCAAAATATTCACTTCCTATAATTATCTTTTCTTAGAAGTGCATATTCTCAGTAGATAGTCTCCTCAGAGTTGCAGTTCTTAGTAGAAGTAACATCTATTTTTAGCAAATGAGCCCTTCTTCTCCTTTTAATTTCATTTGTCTTTGATTTTGCTGTAGAGTTTGGGAAAGGGAACTCACCTGGAAGAACAATAATAGTTACAGGGAATCCATAATCTCTTCCCCCTATTTCTATGCCACACCAGTAAGTCCCAGCATCTTCCTCTGTGAGTTTCTCCAGAGTCACGGTGAATTGAAAACTTGTCTGATTGTCCTTGATAAAGGTTCTGCCAGCCTTCACCTCTGCCTCTGTTCCATCAGTTTTAACAACTATGATACATGAACCCCAGTTGTTTCCTTGGCACCAATATTTAACATTGTCTTTATAGCCTTTGCTATATGTACACATCAGAGACAGTGGCCTGCCAAGAAATCCAGCCTTTTCTTTAGGCCCTTCCAGAGCAGATGTGAAACCTGAAAAGCAGAACCAATACAAGTTGAGTCAATAGTTCAAGCTGTGATCCTTCTTTGCAAAGCAGGAAATTCTCAAATCACCAGGCTATCCATAGCTAGAGGTTTCTATACAGTTGCTTATATGGGAAATACACTTTGGTAAAAAGGTATCAATCTTAAGTTGACCTACCTCATAGGGTTGTTGTGATGATAAGAAGGGGAGGAAGAGAGCCATGTACACTATTGAGAGGACATTGGAACAAAGGTGGGGTATAAATGTACAGTGAAAACCCCTTGCTTTGCAGAACGTGAAAAGCAACCATATGTAAATACAAGAAGCAATATTTTTATCTGTATCCAAACATGAGTCTGCTTCTTATTCTGTAAGTCCCAGACTAAATGCCAAGATTCTGACCACTAATTCATTCATCATGGGAGTCCCTGATTAATCAATTCTACGATTAAGCAGCATGAGGCAGCACAGAGATGGTAGCATTATTTTGGAAGAGAGAAGTGCAGTGGCATCAGTAGGGGTGTGTGGGGAGTGTGGTCTACACTGGGTGACACCCCAGAAGAGGGTGACACCTGGCTGAGTGCCTCCCAGACCTCCCTGCCATGCACCATAGGACGTGGCAGGGAGGGAGAAGCCCTGGGTACCCCTTTCTTCCTGCTCAGCATGGGTTTAGTCACACATAAAGCCATGCCAGGCAGGGGGCGTTTTCACACGGGGCTTTAGGAGG